CTTTTTTATTTTTGACAATATTTAAGTGAGATAAATGTACTCCAGGGATAATGCCTCCATAATGTACCTCCCTTTCAATCAGGTGCTATCCTTCTCCTCCATACATCTCGACAGTGACACTCTTGAAGAAAAATCACTTTCTGGAAATATTAGTAGTCTAGATTCCACCCTAACCGGTGGTATAAATTTTGAAGCTGTGCGGCTTCATTTTAGTTTAATACTCCCCCAAATAGAACCATCCTCAATCTCACCTCTCCCAGGAGGTCAGGTAACGTTCCATCTCTCTCAAGCATCTCTAAAATGGCGTGTCTCATGCATCTACTTTTTCAGACAAGTTTTGGAGCCCAAAGTCCATTCTAGTCTGCGGGATGCGTTTCATTTCAAAGGAAAGGGGGGACCAAAGTTGACAAACTCCCCTTTGCGAACATCACATATTCGATCTATCGTAATCAGGAAAAGCAGTAATCTCGTGAAAATCGTTACCCTTGGAGCCTTAGATTGTGTACTGCACGAGGATTGATACCGAAAATACACGAGTCACAGAAATCCTTCATGCTCCTTAGTGTAGGAAGTGCGGCGGCTCTTTTTTTCGACTGAGAAGGGTCAGCGCCAGGAGCCAGTGAGACTGGGGAAGAGAGGGGGGGAAAAAGGCGAGGGGGAAAGTGCGTGCATGCGACAGGATCCCGGGGCAGGCGAAGGAACATAGGAGAGTGAGTCGGGAGGGAGGTCCAAGAAAGAAGAGCCGCGCGCGAGGATTCAAGATTTAATGCAAATCGGGAATTAAAACCCCACGTTCTCTATCACCTGGGAGAAAGTAAGCAATCTTGGTGTCATTTGATTCCTGAAACATATCTCTATGCGATAGGAACAAAAAAATCCGGTATTTGAGACCGATGAACCGAGGAAATCGACTCGATAGGACAGAAATGGTCTCAATTTTAAAATGGGCCACAGCAAAAAACGATAGGCTCCGAGGATAGCGAACGGATTCCCATGAAAATCCACACGAAGCTTCTCGAGAGACTTCTTAAGAGATCTATTAGAGGAATTTTTGAATTTCGGCTTCGTTTTCGAGCAACGTCCGTCAACCTCGAGTGATTTCCAAAAAAGTGGCATTTTCGCGTGGATCGTCGAACTTTGAGAGCGAACAGTTGGAGGAAACTATGCGCAACTCCGCCAAAAGATGGATCAGGATAACCTCCAAAAAGTGTAGCATGCTTTTGTCGATAGAAAATTTCTACGAGGAATGAGAGCGAAAAAACCGAATCAGAAAACGGAAATTTTCTCAGTTATGGCGCCATGGCGTCTCGATAACGACAATTACATGCATGTATTTATTTTTTCCATTTAGCGCGATATCTTCCAAGGAGAATGGCATGAATTTGACGTTTCTGCGGCCAATGGTTGGGGAGATACACATTTTCAAAGGGATGCATGTAAATTGTGACCTTTTACCTCAAATCATGTCCCCGGGCGTTACCGCAGAGAGTCAGCAATCGGCTCCAAGGCCCTTTCTTGAGGTCCCTTACAACAATTATAAAGCGGAATTTCGACCCTGGGGGGTCGATTTTCATCTTCCCATAGTACCTTAACCCGGCAGAAGGAGACTTGTGTACTACTGGCCAGGGGGTTCGAGGAAACATGCTGCGATTTCCTAAGTCTCTACATGGCATTTTATAAGTCACAGACTTTATGTGTCTTTCGAGAGCGATAGAGGGTGTAAAGTGTCCTACGGGGATGTGTGTGACTCCTCTCCTTAATCAGGGGATGATGCAAGATCTATCAGATAGAGGTCCTCCGGAGGGATCTCTTCGAGGAACGACAATACTTCACAGAGTACTATCATCAATCTAATATACATAAATTCTCGTCTTCTAATCCATATTAGGGCTTGTTCAGACTCAAGAAATGAAGGAGGTACTGTAAAGCCCAAACGTTGACAATTCATCGTTCTTCACAGAGAAAGTGGCAGAATGGGAGGCAGCTGGACGAGTTTAAGAAGGTTTAAAACCGCCCATCCCATCAATTGGCTTGATGGAGTGATTCCCAGGGAATTCAAGGGTTTGGGATTCAAACAGGGAGTCATTAGGCTTGAAATTGCCTCCGGATACTCAATATTTTCTCTTGCCTGTTGTGATTCAGTCGATTCCATTACTTGAATGAATCTCTTGGTTAGGTTCAACTCAAGTGCATTAATTCCAAAATGAATGCATTTCTTGATAGTGAATGCCCAAATCCGTCAAAATATTGGACATAGGAAAAGAAGGAAAAGGAAAAGGAAGGAAAAAGGAAAAAGAGGAGTTCAAACCCATATCTGAAAGAAGTCGGTCTACATCTCAAGTAATAGTCTAAGGATAGTAAGGATAGTAGGTCTACATCTCAAGTGACGTCGAAAACATGTCTTCGAAATAATTCTGATAACAGAATCAAGCAGTGCACGGACGTGACGATGGAGAACTTCGTGACGGTCCATCACGAGATGGGACATGTCCAGTACTACATTCAGTACAAAGACCAACACATTGCCTTTCGGAAGGGAGCTAATCCAGGTCAGTGGAATGCCTCACACTTTTCATGATTGGTGAGATGCAATTTGACTGATGGAAGTGCATGAGTGGAAATTTAGCTGTTTTAATGCGCGAAAAATTTCTCTGGTGCTTTTGTTGACATTAACACTCATGGGGATGGACCTTCATTTTTTACATTTAGGGTGCCTTCTTCATCGGCGATTTTGCGATGATAAGGATCGTGCAGTGCATGTTTAGGGTAGGCAGGAAGTCACTATACCTCTGGGATATTAAGCTTTTAGATGGTCTGTGTGAGCTCCATCGTTGTCGCGGTATCGTCGTATACGTCGCCATGTCCTGCGAGATATCGTTCGCTGCATTGCAGGTATAATTGTTGCTAATGCGTCACGAACAGCAACTTTCAATACCTGAGTCGTCTTGTAGCGCTGCATCGACATAATAATGACAAATATACAATATTAGATGAGGTATATGAGAGACTTCCCGACCACCTTGTATACGGGATGAGATCACATTAATTTGCAGACACTCAGGAAGCGTTCCACCCATTAATAACTTCTGAATCAGTCACAGCCCCCCAATACCCTTCCTCTTGGGCTTATCCTTATGCAAAGTGTCGAATGCCCAAAAATTCAAAATGTTTATACTTTACATGATGTCAAAGTTCCACAGTTTCAAGTCAGATGACAAACCGATTCTTAGCACTGCCTCCCCCCCACCCCCACCCCCGCCCCCACCCCCACCCCATCCAATTTTTTAGCAATGCGCATTCGTAAAGATTCATTCATTAAGCAATGTAGAAAAGAGAGAAGGCAAAAAAGTGGCAGCACTTGAATGGAACCAATTTTTAAGTTGGTGATGAAAGAGATTGCTTCAAAGATAAATAAGAGCAGTAGTTTCTGATGATGAAACAGTCAAAAGGAAGATCCGAATTTCTCCACAAAATTGGTTTTTCAGAAAAAAGACGAATATTGCCACTAAACGGCACCTTTGGAGTTAACAGGATGTAAACTTCAATAATGCGAGAAGTTCATTTCCTTCCCAGCCACGTTCCAAAAACTTTTATTTTTTAGACTTTCCAGTCCTTTGATATTTGGGGATACATTTGATGCACCCAACTGGCAAAGTGTAAGAAGACAAGGTTAATTCTCCAGGGCCAAGAGAGGCAAAACCTTCCCATCATCCGTCTCTGTGTCATTACTAAATGAGGATGAATATAGGAACATGAGTTGAAACTTGACACGAAACTGTCAAGCGTTTGAATCGAGGGACGGGAAAATTAAATTTGATCGGAATAGCTCAACTATTCTACTGAGACCATATGAATAATCTGGTAAAAATAAAAGGGGCTTCTTTCATCATTGCTTTCAACAACTCAGCGAATTAACCTATGCGTCAACCTGAAGGTTGACTCAGACACGCATTCACCTAATAGAAAATGG